AAAAGCAGAGAAATGGTCACCGAATCGCAGTGTACAACCGAAACTGTTTTTGATTACAGTTGGAAACAGGTTGTACAAGCGTACTGGAATCGCTATCCCAACCCGTCGAGGTGAGCGGAACATCATATACATAAATAACTAAAGTAATATACAACATATTTCCAATAATTTTATTTCGCAGTACACACGTTTTGACGGAAGATACTATTAAAAGAGAAGTGCGGGATGGCAAACTGTATTCACGCCGCCTGTTTTCCAAAACCAATCCAGTGCCAAAATGGGGACAACGATTTTACAATAACGCGCCCGTGCGAATAGTGGAAGATTCTGTATTGGATCCAAAAAAGAAAACACTGGTCACATTTACCCGAAATATTGGATTCAAGAAAATAATGGTGAGTGCAATGAACGTGTGCAGATTTTTCGTTGGATGCGGGTGTGTACAAGCTGTCAATGGAAGTGGAGGTTGTGTTTATCAACAATAGAGCAATTAGGTGTTTCTTTTTATTTTTGCCTCGCGTTCACAGCTCGGCCATCATGTTGTTTATTTAAAACGAGTTTTTACGTTTTACTAATAGTGTATATAAATACATATATATGTATGGGCATACATATTCCGACTAAATTTTAATACGAATTTATAGCTTTTTTCTTGACCTGTGTTCTCTGTTATTGATTTGTGAAAAACGTTGTTTATTTTAAAGCCAATAAATGCACTCACTTTGAATCTTCCATACTTCTGCATCAATAAATATTTTTTTCGAGAATAGATTTTTTTATGAATGATGAATTGCTCAATTGGCGTACAATAGGCTTCTTTATAACTGAATAGAAAAATTACACGGAAGCCCACTAGAGATGTGTATTGAATTTAACACTGAAATGTTATATGTATAAATATGTAAATGAAAAATTAGCCATAACACAAGGTTTGGTAGGAAATTTTTTATTGAGACACTTTATTTTTAGAATATTGGGCATAAGAAAACAAAGTAACATTATTTGGTAACGTACTCACACATGTACGAATTTTTGCTTTTTCTAGCACTAGCGCACTAATTGCATTATTAAATAACCAATCTAACTTACAGTATATTTTGCTTTGCTGCCTTTATGCTTAAGTGCACATTTAAGATACCTACCCCAAAATGCGCATCTGAGACATTATTTTTAACATTTATAAGGAAAGTGCTCCGACAGATGCATTCAACGTACCTGCCTTAAAAATTGTGCAACTAGTATCAATTATCAAAGAAAGTATTACGTTTACCTGCACTGGCCCTACAATTACCTAATTTTACAAGCTTTTATTTATTTTGCTCATATCGCAGAACAACGAAAATGGCTATCAATTTATGTAGTTATATAGATAATAACATACCATTCGAAAAAAATTTCGCTTGCATTATTTTCTACGTGATAAGTGCTTCTCCATTATTTGGTTTCATAGGGATTCGGATACCTTCCTCATTGAAGTAGTAAAGAAAATTCGCTTAAGTGCCTTTTTCGGTTAGGTGCACAAGTTTTTCGTGCAAAGAAGGATGTGCAGCTAAGCAAAATNCAGAAAGTCGATGAAATCGTTGAATATAGTGAACAAAAAGATGGACGCACTTTAGCTGTGAGGCGTGCGTACATAAGTTCGCAAGTGTTCGGCTTCTCACGTGCCATAAGAGTCTTCGGCGTTGAACGCTTTAAATCGAATTGCAACAAAGCGGCGAGCGGCTTTAATTATGTACTACGAAATATGTTTCCTAAACATGCTGCTACGACTAATGCAACCAGTATGCCTTCTACAGAAGGTGTTGTTGAAAAGGCGTCTACAGCAGGAAGTAACCAAATACAACAGGCAACAGTAAATAAAACGGAAGCCCTTAAAACGGCAAGCAAAGCTGGTTATGAGTATCTAAAGAATCATGCTGTTAAATTGGCACAGTTGTTTTCAATTAAAAGTTGATAAGCGAGCTGGATTAAAGCAAAACGCGTAATGCGTCATTTTCATGGTGGCGGGAGATATGCGACCCGTTAAGGAAACAAGTTCCCTATAGGTCGTCTTTTCAATACATATAAGCGTAATAGTGTACATGAAACACCTAAGTAGAAATATTACGTTAACAATTTGTTGTTGGAACAAGCATTGAGTGGATGGATTTAAACTTTGGAGCTGGCTTGGGGCTATATTTTCTACATGCATATTATCTCTTCCGGCAGCCATAATTTGTATAGTGCATAAAATTATAATGGAAGCAAGTTTCTTCTTTCAATATTTTTTCTTCATTCCAACTCAATATTCATAAAAGCATACGCTCATCAGGTTAGAGGTGCTACATAGTATGTAAAAATATGATTAGAAACTTAATGTATGTACTTTTAGCTACTTTTAAGGCAGCCGTTCATTATATTTTATTCCTATCAATTCCTTCAATATAATGCAGAAACCTAATTTAAAAAGGTGTATTCGAAATGACGCATTTTAACTTCAACTAAAATGGTTTGATTCTGAACATGTTTGACAAGAAACAAAATAAATATATATATATTGCAAAATAAGAATAGTTAATATATTTTATAGTAGTGTAAATATGTATGCAGAGTACAGTTGACCGGCACAGAACTAATAAATTATTGGCAAGCATGGCATATAAATGTGTTTTTATTAAAGAGCAACATGGGGATTGATGCAGAACCTAATTGCTCTTATGAAATGAATTTTGACTAAAACATAAATCTTCTTTGCAGGTAATGGTAAACTATAAAAAGCCCGATATATAAAAACTGCCCTGCTGGATTCGTCATCATACGAAAAATCCGAAAATCGACCCGAAAAAGGAAAAAAAGTGCATGAACTTTGACGATCCGTTTTCCCGCTTAGCAATGCGGCAAAAACTCATGTACAAGTATCGAAAATTGTTTGTGAAACGGATACTTTTTTGTCTTTTTTAACTGAATTTTGTCGTGATTGAAATTTTCGTTAAATACGCTTTCCTTCTGCACTTTACAGATACTTTTTGGTTAAAAGAAAAAAGTAAAATTAAGGAAGCGCGGCTGATGGAAATCGAAGCTGGCACCTTCTGGAAGCTAACAAACAGCGTCACGCTCATATGCACGGCCAGCCACTTCCGATTACGCTTCCATACTTTCAAATGTTTAGTTTGAACAAATAAAATACAATTATTAGTTGCGTTCCAGATGCTTCACGATTTGCAGGTTTTTACCGGAAGCTGTTCCAGGTGACCTTCCATAAGGTTTATTAATGGAGAAAACAGCTTTTCCTGGATATCCTGTGAAACCTGCAACTCGTGAAGCATCTGGAACGCAACTATTAGTTGCATTCCCCAACTTTTCTCGGTTAAACCCTGTAAAACTGTCAAAAAGCAAATGAAGCCAGAGAACCGAGTACGGGAACGCTTTCTGGTAAATTCCTCTAAATTCTTGCAACTTCTTGCGAGTTAGGGAACGCGACTATTGCTTTCAAATAACATCATCCTTTTCGAACGTTTCAAACGTTTTCCGGATACGAAATTGAATGACAACTGTGGTCGTTTTTTCGATTCCGGGTACGAAAACCACCGTTGTTTTGTGGACGTTCTTGGATACGTAAATGAATGAAAATTGTGGTCGTTTTCTATTCGTTTCCGGATACGGAAATTGCGCTAGACTACTTTCGGCAAAATTTACGTTTCTCAGCTGGCTCGGCATATACATATATCTAAGCACATCCCGGTTTATTTTATATTTAGTATGTGCAAAGCAATTGTTATATTAATAGTTTGATGCATATTACCATTAAAAAGTAATTTGACTTACGTTGTTGTTGTAGCAGTAGGTCTCAACATCCGTGGGTGTCGCCATGAGTCACCGTCATCCTCCGACTTTACAAGCCTGAACCAGAGGCAGCGGTGACGTCCATAGGTCTATAGAGCTTTTGGTGTAAGGGTCGTCGGGTTTGACTTACGTTCTTATACGAAATTTTTGCACGTTATAACGCTGAACGTTATCACGACACAGCTAGCTATCACAAGTTGATGGAACTACTCTTCCCAACTTTTTTCCTATGCAGGTACATATATTTCAATGAATTCGTGAGATAGACGAGTTGACGTGCAAGCGCAATGTTTATGCGCCACGGCAGCTGATAACAAATTTTACTCTTTATAACACTAAATAAATACGCCAATTGGCTATCACAAGTCAGGTGTTTTATCCCAAATTGAAAATTAACGATAAATACTAATCAGAACAGCTGTAAATCGCCGACCCACAACAACCAGTGTTGCCGCGGTCAGAAATAAAATTTACCAAAATCGATCAAAAAATTTACCAAATCCCGTAAAAATTAAACAACTTATTTAACGGGTCTTATGCTTGGTTTGAATAAGTCCATATTAGGGTTTTTCTTACCAAGCTTGGCAAATAGGTTATATAAATAAAAGGTAAGTAAGTAAAGGCAATATAAAGCACGGGACAGAACTTAGTCTGCCTCGGGAGACCCGCACTACAATAGCCCAACTTCGCTCTGGTTATTCCCTGCAAAAATCGCGACTACTCCATGCATGCGTGTAAAGAGTACTCCCTAAGGACCAAAGAGTACTCCAAAATTAACCACAATTCATATAAAAAATATGGTCCAATTAACATTGCGATGTCCTAGGGCAGGACCATATACTCCATCCCTGCATTACATCAGAGTAGCACAAAACTACTCCAACATATTAACAATGGCATTGTTGTTATATTTTTTCGTTTGTACACGCTTTTGTTCTTCACTTCTCAAATGCTTTTTCGAAATTAATAAAAACCAAGACAAAAATTAAAAATTACATGTTGCCTCTGACGGTATTCGAACCCGAACATGCTGGGAGCTAAGAACTAACAGCGAGCATCTCTACACGTTCAGCTACAGCCAGACATGCAAATGTGCTTTCAAATGCTCAACTTGAATCACGTTTCGTTAAAGCACGAGCAGTGATCGGATAACAAACAATAAGCTGGCGCAGAGACACGAGTTGGTCCGCTACAGCATGACAGAGGAACACTTTTGTAAGTACTCCAATTTACCACAAATAGACTACATGGTCCAACGATTTTTGCAGGGACATATAAGGTGGTATCGATTGAACAAATACAACAATTAGCAAATACAACTTTTAGCAGGCCATTGTCAAATTTCAGCTATTCTTCCCCGAATGAAAAAGGGCGACAGAAAATGCAAACACTCTCACCAGAAAGAGGAAGCATCGGACAAAAGGCAGTATTGCCAAATGTTGAACTTGAAAAAGCACCAAATTTTTAATGGTGTATTTTATAGACTTATATGCATACATAATTTTATTGTAAGGATGGCGATTCAAATTAATAAAAATCAATGTTTCTTGCACGACGGTTGATTTCTTCTGGCATGATTGAAGGTGCTGTCACATATTTTGTTGTCGCTTATGATTGTCACTGTGCCATGATTTTGTTTAAATTTTTGTAAAGTTGCTTACCACACTTACGATTGCTATANTTTGTTTAACTTTTTGTAAAGTTGCTTACCACACTTACGATGGCTATGAATTTTGCTTCCATTTTTTTTAAGATTTTCTAATTTGGTATCTTCAAATTAAAAACAAAAGCACCAAAAACGCGCCAAGCACCAAACTCAAAAATTTTCGCGTTTTGAATACCCACTAAATTTGGTGCGAAAAGCATGAAGTTGGCAACAGGGAATGTAAACAAAAGTATTTTATGACGTCAGCGATTAGGTGGATGCTGTCAAATCCACCAAGAGAGGGTTGGCGGTCCGCGAATGGCGCGACCTTTTTTTTCTGGATCGTGCTCAACAGCTACCTGAGCAGAATTAACGAAGATGTGCCCAACCAATGCCCGGCATGTGGAGAGTCGCCATATGACTCCCGGAACCTCTTCACATGCCCTGATAACCCCACTCAGCTAACGCCCCTGTCCCTATGGACAGCCCCTGTGGAAGTAGCACACTTCCTGGGCCTCCCCCTAGCTGAAATTGACGACAACGTTGATGGATGAACCGCCCCGAACGGGGCTTAGTAGCCGCTACAACAATAACAACAACAACAACAGTTTTGCCGTAAAAAGTAAGACTGCTTTTACACAGTTCAAGTATTGAATTCAATTCTGCTCGCATGTGGAAGAGAGGGGATGAGAAGAAAAGGGACGAGTACACATGCGTCTGTACCGTCAAGTCGTTTTCAACTTTCTTGCTTTGCTTTTGGCATTTTCGTTGTTTCACATTTAAAGAACCTAAAACTTGAATTCAACAGAATTGAAACGTGTAAAAGCAAATAGAAAACACAAAAGAGAATGAGCAAGAGTTGCTTTCAAGTACTTGAATCATGCAAATCGGGTGTAAGGATTTTACAGTCGTAACAGTTGCTTAATTAAATAACTATTATTTATCTACACATTTCTTTCAGGCTTTCAACATATACTCCTATAATAGTTAGCTGCAATTTCGCTATTTTTTTGCATAAAGTAACATGCCTGGAACTTTATACGGGATATGGATAACAGTCTACCTAAAATGAAATAGAAAAATTTATTGAAATGGTTACTCTTATGACTATGAACTTTTGAGGAAAACTTTCCTTTTGGCCTATTTAAAAAACAAAAATTATCAAAACGAAGAAAAATTTAACATTTTAACAGATAGGAAAAAATGAATAAATTTTGCTTAAATTTAAGCAAAACGGCAATGCTGCCAACAACTCAACTAAAGTGCTAGTTCACAATCGCACAGTACACAATGGATTTGTAGCTTCAAAAACTAAAATGATTAACTTTTAAACTTAAAATGATTAACTTTTAGCATGCGATATTTTTTAAATAAATTTTACGTATGTACGTGTTTTAAAAATTCTGTATTTTAAGTGTGCTTTTATTTCTAGAGAAAAACTTCATTGACGGTTTTATACTTCACAAATCCATTGTTAATAATGTGGAACCGAAAGAAAAAAGAACGGAAACGTAAACGAGGAAACAACGCCAGTCGTACACTAAACGTAAAAAATGCTTGCTGCAGTATTCTCAATGCGCAAGTTTTTTTTATACTGAGGCTATAAATAAAATCGGACGCTAAAGTTTTATGGCGAAAAAAGGGGTGTGTTTAGCTGTCCTTCGGTCAGTTAATATACAAACAACAATGTCGTAAAAAATTAATCCATCATTATAGAATTAATAAATTTAAATTTAAACATGCTTACGCTACATCCTCCTGCAAATAAAAAAAAATCAGACAGTATTAGCCTTGCACTTTATCACCATAGCGGACATAACCTAAAGAACCGATTACGGCAAACAAGGACACACAACGAAGATACATTTAGTACACCAGGATAACCGAGGAAGTGTCTATGTCAAAGGAATGAAATTGCTTGCTTCAAGCTATATAAAAGCAAAAAAAATTTAAACAAAAACGGAAAATATTAAGGGTATTCATCAAACCTTATAAATGCATTGTAAACCGTATAAACTTATAATTGTGTAAACCTTATAAATGAACTGTCAAAATTTGTATGGAAACTCGTTTACACATTTCTGGTAAATTTATCCAGCGATTTCACTGAATAAACTTGATAAACTGAAGACAATGCAACTCTGTCGCAACTCTAGCTATGTTTTCTTAGGCAATAATCGGGATCCGCATACAAATTTTGCACGCAAATTCAACAACGATATGATCCTGATAGAGATCTGGTTCAATTATTATCTCGTCTGTTTGTTTTGTTTCACTGATAATTCGCAAAGTTTGGTAGCCGTGATAAATGAATTCATACACAACCAGACATTCGGCCATTGTTTCTTATAACTTGCTTCAAATAAATAGTCTTTATGTTATATGTACATTTATATAAATAGATATCTCGTAAATATAATTTTTTCCAATTTAGTGAGGTAGTTTCTATAATTTCTTTATCCCCGTGCTAGTAGTATAAAGTTAGTGACACTGCGCTTTATAACCAAAGAAAACACGACTATTGTCGCATGTGTAAACGAAAAGGGAGTGTGGGTCGTTCATGTAACAGAGTGCATAAACTTATAAGATTATCTGCTTGATAAAGTTATCGGTTTAGATGAATACCACTATTATACAAAACTGACCTAGCAAAGTTCGACCAGGAACGCAAACGTTTCGGACCGTTTTCAAAGACTTTTCTGAAAAACTCAGTGCAGACACTTTCATTTCATTGCTGACACTGTGATATTTAAGTCTGAAAAGAAGATATTATTACAAAAATTTAAGTATTGCATATTATAACAAGGTTTCATTATATATATATATGTATATATATGTATATAATTGAATTAAATATGTATGGTATATATTTTTAGGCTTGTTGTTTTTTTTTGCAAAAAATCCGCTGTCTGTTAATCACCAAACAAAATGTTTCTATTTTAAATATGTGTGTGCTAGATTATTTCGCATCTTTTTTGCATGTATTTATATACATACATACGTATAGTCATAGGCACAACTCAAAATTGCACGTTTGTCACAAAATACGAAATGGGCAAGGAAGAATTTACCTTAGTTTTTTTTTTGTAATTATAACAAAAATTTGCTCCAGCTTGTTCTCAAAGGTAAATAAAAGCTCTCTGTACATTTTGAGCGCATAATTTCGAAATTGCTAAATTTTGAGTTGTGGCTATTTTAAAGACGGTGTGCGATATGTAATTAAAACCATTTGTATGCGTATGTATGCTATAGACTTCAAAAATCGACTTGCGAGCTGGGCATACTTAAAAAATATGTATGTACATTAGACTGCATCACCAAAAAAAGTAGCGGCTTTTTCCACCGGGATTACAAAATTCATTATATATTAAGACGTGCACCAAAATATTTCAGAAAAATATTAAGATTTAAGCGAGCTGGACCGATTTGAAAATACCTCCAAAAATGGAGTTTTTTTTTTATGAATAAAAATAGTTTCTTAAATAACTTTTTGAAAAAGTCCCCTCAAATGACAAAACAGATTAAGCTTAAAAAATCTGCATAAAAAGATTTAAAAATCTTTTCAACGGAATCGTAATAATGAGGTTTTTGATGCCATTTTTTTAATTTTTTCAAAGTATGATTTACGAAAAACTTAAATAGCTGGGCCACACTATTCTGATTTAGACTTATGGAATCTCGGAGGAAAGGTATTTTCCCACTATTTTTATTTATGTGCAAAAAAAAAGTCATTCGTGTCCCCCAATTTTTTTCCAAATAGAAAGAGTCAGAAAATACCTTTCCAATGATATCTCAGAGTTAAGGTTCAGTTATTCAAGTTTTTCTCATACCAATCTTTGAAAAAAGTTAAAAAAACAGCATCAAAAATCTCATTATTACGATTCCGTTCAAATTTCTAAAAATTTTTTTTTTTTTAAATTGCGAAACTATTTTTATTCATAAAAAAACTCCATTTTTGGAGGTATTTTCCAATCGCTCCAGCATCAGGTCACGTAAATCTTAATACTTTTCCGAAATATTTTGGTGGACGTCTTAAAATAGAATAAATGTTATAATTCCAATGGAAAAACAGTACCAATTTTTTTTTTGTATGGGGAGTGATGAAGTCTAATATACATATGTATATGCATGTAAGTGCATGTAAATATGCAGATGAGAATATTTAGCTTTGAGCTGAGCTATTCACTCATTTAACCTTGTCAATCAAGTAATCGTTAAATCACCTGAGTCCATTAAAAATAAATCGATCGATTGGTCAATGGTTGATAAGAAACAGATGTATTTTTGTTGTGAGACGTGTATGTATGCATTATTAACCCAGTAGGAAAAGTAGTAATGCATTACATGCGTGTTAAACAATGTAATACATTTCCTATGAATTGCAAGATTCTATTAACTGTTTAATATGTAATCAGCCATCTAATGTATTTAAAAATTAAAAAACAAAATCATATAAAATCACATTCATTCCTCGATACTAGGTAATGCAAAATTGAATGCCCCACTTTTCGTAAGACATCGCCATGGGGGAAAAATGAATTTTCGAATGTGAAAACAGCTGTTTTACTAATTAGTTTTTCGATTATTTTACATTACATTTTCCCATACACACATATGGAGCTAAAGAGCTATGTAAGGCATATGTACAGTAGGGGTTCAAGTCATTAAATCCGTTATGCTGCACAATGTGACCAACTAAGTATTTCATAGCTCAAAGCAGTACAGGCTAGGTTGGGTTAGGCTAAAGTGGTTGCCACAGGCAAGGGACACACTTGGACAATTAAGAGATTGCCATTTGTGATACCAGGAAAAAAACTGAAAGGAGAACTATAATTTAGTCGGCGAAACGCCGCGAGCCGATTACCAAATTTCGGTATTTAGTAGAGTATGCAATTTCATTATCGCGAGTACGAAGAATGCGTGTTAGTCTAGCGCTTACCGAGCTATCCCCAGGTCTAACTATACAAGAGTGTACCGCAGGAGGGCATATGTGTACTTAGTTGCTCCTTATCTGGGGATAACGTTTTAAGGCTGCCATACCAACGCTAGGTCATCAGCCACGCAGTTTCTCGAGAAGTCACTGTGACCCGGCACCTAAGCTAGCCGTATTAAGAATTATTTCGTCGTGATTGATAGACAGATCAGACATTCCTTTACCGATTTCGAGCGCACCATCACCACCTTTAGCAGTGAGCCTACCGCTTCCGTGATGTCAGCCTACCTAAAAGACATTGCAGAAGTCCAGAAGTCTGAATATAGTTTTCCATGAGAGTTACCGACAGGAGAAACCTCTACCAACCCTGTCTCCAAGTTTTGATACGTCCGTTAAAAAGTTTGCCACTCCCTTCTTAGAGTAACCCCGCCCTACATAGTACTCTCTTGAGGGCTTAAAGGTAGACAAGGAGCTTCTGGGAATCATTTCGCTGCAGTTGTTTTACAAGTTTAGCCTTCTCTCTCCGTGAAATAAGAGCTAATAAATTACTTTGGGCGAGAGACTTCACCTTTAACCGATTGCTCCCCTACAGCAGTACAAGGCAAGCGGTGCCTTTCTTACCCTTTCCTCAATGTTAGGCTTCCACGACAGCTTCCTATCCAGGATTAAGCCTAAGTACTTGACCATGTCTGAGATCCGCAGACGAACACCCCCCATTCGAGAGGAGGACCACAACGTGTATCTTGTAATTCTTGGTAAACAAGAAATCGACCCTTAATCAAAAGTTCCGCATTACCTACATAGGCGATCACCCGGCAGCACTTTTTCCAGTTCCACTAGCAGATCGTTTACAATTCCAATCCAGAGCAGGGGAGAGAGAACACCACCTTTCGGATTCCGCTATTGACTCTGTGCTGAGTGCAGGCGCTCCCCACTCCGCCGCGAGAGTTCTGTCACGAAGTAAGCTGTAGATAAGCCTTATTAGGTTGGTAGGTTTTTTTCAACCCCCAGATTAGGAATAGACTTGACTATTGCCTCTGGAGTGACATTGTTGAAGGCCCCCTCGATATCGAGGAAGCAAAAACGAAGAAGGACTGATATGTCTAATATCCCTAGGGGAAACATGAGAGCCTTTTCTGGTCTTCGGAATGAACGCAGCACTGACTACTCTCCAAGCCTTGGAGATGTAGCCGGTCCTCACGCATTTCGCATAAAAATGGGAGCCAACTAATTGCATGACACCTCCAAAGCCCTTTACAGCTGCTACAGGTTTGAACGAATTTATCGCCCAGGCCATGTAATGTTCGTCCAGAAGATCGGAGAAGTACAGGACCTGAAGTACAAAATATTGGAAAGAGGAATATTTGACTGTACTGCGAAGTACTAAGTACAAGATCTAAAAAATAAGTACTGTACTTCCGAAAGAAGTATGGTTGGTCACATTAAATATTGCATTTTTAAATGTTTAATCAAAAATACAGCTATTTTAGCTTAAAGTATAGGCTGACGGCAGCGTTGATACTACAGAGACTACTGAGACAGATACTAAAAAATATTTAAATGCAAGTACATATAAATAAATATGCGGCCTTATCATGAGTTTCATATTCCCCGGACCCGCCCACTTTTCCTTTCCATGCATTCACTACGGACAGATGAAAAGAATTCGGGCGAATTTGTTTACGGGCGAAACTAACGAGAAGGCTGATTAAAATTTTTCATTTGAGATTGCTGTCTTAAGTAGTTGGTTCACATATGTATATAAACAATTGTATGTTACACTAAATAAGCTTACGTTTTGAACTTTATATGTAAATACATATTTACATATGTATGGGGTAGTATGTCATCAGTGGCTACGTTGGGTCTGTTTATGACTTGTACGACTCAATGATTTCGTTTATACTCGCTGTAGCGCCAGCAACCAGAGCACATATCGCAAATAAGCTTAATAGTAAATTCTTGTACAACTTCCATTTGCACCAACCCAAGCGATCTGGCCACAAATGCACTGTTTCACAAACGCTGGGCACAAAAAATCCTGCAATATGAAGTATATAGTAAGTACAAATGTTTAACTACAAATTTGCTGTACTTTTCACACAACATACCCAATAGTGAGAGGAAGACCGCACCCACAAGACTAATGAATGGCTCCAGGTTCGGTATAGCAGCAGCTATCGCGCCACTAATTAATATAATACAAGTACGCAGGATTATCTGTGTAATGTTGTGATTTTTTTCATTGAATTTATGACTTATATTTTTCCAGAGCGTATCGATTGGTATATAAAATAACAGACCAAAAGAACAAATCGAGGCAACGGCTATTAGCAGTTTTGCTATGTCGGCCAAACTAAAACAAAAAAAAAAATTATCTTGTTTTATTCTATAAATTCTTAATATGTATGTATATTTACATTGTGCCTTCCTTTAAGTTCAAGGTAATGCTGCCGCGCACTTCATTGCCATAACGTGCGTAACCGAGGACACCGATAGTCGCATACAAGGCGACCACAACAAGCATAGCTGTATTTAGCACGCCAGGACAACCCAGAAACTGTTGTGGTTTCTTCATTGCATTTTCAATAGGCATAACCGAACCAATACCCTCCATCGCAAAGATTACGGTAGCGAAGAAAAGCGGTATTTTTGTGGTTTCCGCAATCAGCGGCTTATCTGAGAATTCCAGCGGCTCGCTGAACATATAGTATAACACTATGCCGAATGTGATCACAATGAAACCATTTGCCAATGTTGAAAATGGCACCAGCAATTTCAAATTTCTTATTTGACCAATCATTAGGCAAGGTATCACAGTCATGGCAATATAAATGCGCACATCCCAATCCAGGCCGAGATCATAGTTGATGACATCGTGAAATGATGTAGCTATAAATACCATATAAACACAAGCTCCTGCAAAGTAGGTGGTCATGAGGCCGCCATCAACGGTACGTCTGTGTGGAAGAAGTTAAAAGTTAATGTATCTTTAAAATAACAGTGTTGTGTTACATACATACATACCTCACAAAAACCGACCATGATTGTAGTGATTTTGGCCCTTTCTCAAAAACTCTCTCTGCAGTTTGTGCAAAGTTCAATGCAGGTATTTGATATTCCTTACAGACGTCTTGTGATGTTTTGACCTGCAAGAAAAAGACAGAATATGCGATTAGGGAATTATATATTTTTTTTTTGTATGTAGGGCACTCAATATTCTTATACATATGTACATGTGAATGTATTTTGCATGCTTGCTCAATACGCCCTGAAGGAAAGACTAGTCCAATTGCTCGAAAAATATAGTCGTAGGTATAGTAATTTTGTAACTAGACCAAAGATAGTCCAAAAATTTAAAGCAATGTAATGTGAAACAGGTGAATTGTACTAAAAGTGGTCCGAATGTAATGCATAAAGTACGAGTTTTGTTCTAAAATTGGTTACAATGTCATGCAGTAGCGGACAATGGGTATAATTAACGATTTGCTGATATGTAGGCACTTAGTCAACGAAATTTCATGTGCGGCGTTGGCATGTAGAGAGAGTAGCCGCTTAAAAAATCTGAGAACGCCGGTTCGAATCGCAGCTGGCGCAAGTTTTATTCTTGTTTTTTCCCCCCAAAAATGGTTACAATGTAATGCAGAAGCGGACAATTTGTCCGAGCCTAGGACATTCAATGTTAAATGTAAATAGAATTTTACATGTTCTTGGATCAAACTTTGGACTAGTTACAATCACTTGCAGTCTAGTTTGTGGTGTGCTCTAAGTCTATTCCGAGGTCCTACAGGGACATTTCGAAGAACTCACCAATATGTGCACACAATGCGTACACAGCACACCAATCACCAGCGTAGCAATCATGCTGAACAGCAGCCCGCCATTGGCAAAGGCCATTGGCATCGCTAACAGACCAAAACCTAATGAACCTTTCAGCAAATGCATAAATGCGCCGCTTGTCGACTGACCGTGGACTTGGTCGCGGTAATCCGATGGTAGGTATTCATTGCTTCTATGTGCCTTTTCCGTAAGATTTACGCTGAAATTTTGCAGAAATAAAATTCAAAATTAATTTTTATTCTAGAATTCTATTATTTTTTATTTATCTACTAACTAACCGTGAATTACAATCGTTAATCGTTAGTACTGAATTTGCCCTCTCTGGGAAGGCTGAGACCGTTGTGGTGGAATCCGCCATCTGGAAAGAGGAAGTTAAATGTTATTGAGTGCCTTGCTTTTCTAATAAAATGAAGCTTTACTTACTTAAAATACTTTGAGGATTAAAAAAAGTGTCATTAACTTTTTTCTGGATTTTGCCTCGACTATTTTCCTTGAATCTGTATGTGCTTAACAATGATTCCGTTATGTGTTGTTTGAAGTTATCTTTTTGCTGCAAGTTAACGGGTAACTAAATTGGTTATGCCTTCGAGCTGCGTACATCGGAGACTCTACTCTTTTTTGTTTGAGTATGAATGCTTCTTCATGAATTCATAGATAAGTGAAGTATATATTTTTTTAAATGAAGTAAAGTGTCGGTTAAGTCACTTATTCTTGAGTGGGCAATAATATTTTCATAATTGAAATATTAGGAATCATATTTTCAAAGCCTTAATGCACTTTGAATAGGGAAGTCTGTCCTAGTACTTAAGTATGTAAATTTTTTATAAATAGACATATCACTCAAATATACTTAACTTCTTGTGTAAATAATACCACTTCATGACAAATTATGTCACTTAAAGTTATGAGATATAAGATGATGAAATAAGAGTAGCTAGTTAAACTATTATAGTGGAGACGAACTTGGTAACACAAATTTTGAGACCTATACCCCTCAAAGCACTTCTTCTAAGCCTTTTTTCCTCGATAAAGTTTAGTACTACTTTTGGCACATAAACTGGCCCACATTGAGCCTACTACTATTTATAATCCCATACTCCTGTTAAGTCTTCTGGTGACATGTTCGGATTCAAGTAATAAATTTGATGGTATCTCTTTGGCGGAGGGTTAAGATGAGGAAACCAGTCAAAACTTGGCCGTGTCCACATCTAAACCGAAAACTTAGTTCTGGGGCAAAATATACCTGCTCCTTTGACTAGAGATTGCATTTATCACATAAGTATTGTTACGAACGATCACTGCAGACTAACTAAGCCGACAAGAGCAATAGTCAAACAAAGTCCCGATGGTCATCCGGAAAGCGAACGCCTCCAAAGCCTTTGGACCCGACGGAATTTGCATGCCAGCGCTGAAATATTTGAGTCCTGCGGCAGTAGAATTTCTTATCAAGATCTCCAACCTGTAAATGAGCGCTCTCATCATTGGAAAACGGGGAGAGTGGTCCCACTGCTGAAGACGGGGAAGTCAGGTAACAAATGAGAATCTTATCGCTCGATAACGCTCTTTTTCCTGGTCGCTAAGAAATTTAAGACCCTGCTACTCCCGCACTTCACCTACCACCTGACCTCAGCGAAGCATCAGCATGGTTTCCGTAACGTGCACAGAACTTAACGTCATGAACACTGAAATAACCCGTGGCCTTAACCGCATCCGCCCCTGTGAGAGAACAGTCTTAGTAGCGTTTGACATGTCAGAGGCGTTTGACACCGTTTGTCATTCCACGCAATAAGAAGACATCGAGGCTTCCCCTCTCCTACAGAGCACACAAACGGTGGTCGGCTAACTATATGAGTGATCGGCAGTCGTCAGTAACCTTTCGAGATCAAACCCTAAAACTTCGAACAATTTTGCAATGGGATACACTAGCTGGTGTCCTCTCTCCCTTGCTATTTAGCTTCTATATCTCAAAGTTTCCCCTGCCCCCGGAGGGAATTTCCCTGATTTCATATGTTGACGGCTGTTCGAAATTAAAATACTAAGCGAGCAGTTTCGGTGAAATGTCACAGGCCTATGAAAGCCGTGATAGGAACCCAATCTCCACCTGTTGCAGACTCGGAGTTTCGATACTCTGGCCCAATTGTAGCCGTCTTAACAGATATTTGTCTGGACTCGACCGCAAAATCACCAATGAGTGTCCGGCATGTGGAGCCTACCCCCACGACACCAACCACCCCTTTATATGTCAGTTAAATCCTACTCAGCTAACACCCCTCACCCTTTTGGTCTGACCCCGTAGAAACAGCTCATTTCTTGGGCCTTCCGTTATTTGAGCTTGGCGACAACGATTGATGCACAAACCGACCAAGGCGGGGCTTATTCGTACCGCTACAACAACAACAAAACCAAGGATATTTCATGCGTTGTTGGATGTGCCATGGAAGCAGCTCTTCTCCTGGCTGCCTCCGAACATGTTTTATTGCGCCAGTGTTCCTCTAGACTTAACAAAATTTCACTCTTGAGTCCATCACTTTTTTGTAACTCACTTTTTTGTATAGTACAGGGACCGTATAAAAAAATCATCATTTATTTTCAGATTATATTTTTTAGATCATAAAAAATATAAATCGGTCCCAGTTGCATAAAAACCATATATTTAATACTTCTATATTGGCAGTAACCTATCTGCGCAATGTGTTTGGATTCAGCAATCAAAGGGAGATAGATTTGAGACAAATGTACGTTTTGCGCAAGTTTTCCATGTGTTAGTATCTGTGAATATATGTGACAAATACATTCAAGCAAATTTGACGTATCATCAGTAGCGTTAGAAAATAAATTTGAAGGGGATCGTTTTACTGTGGGGTGGTTATGCCCCTTTGTTGACGATGTTTACTTATGCAAACTGAAACTTTATGATGAAGTATTAAGATTTTATTTTAAAGCTACCTGGAAATAAAAAAAGGATTTGAAATTTTTTTTAATGATTAGCAATTTATTATTTTAGAATGTATAATTCAAACATATGCATACTTCCATTCTCTCACTGAGTACAAATTTACTGACTATTTAGGTAAAAAGGAATAAATAAGTATAGTGACTCACACTTAAAATTGTGTAAATCTTTATATAATATTCCCATTGTTTTTCATTTAAAATTTTTTCGCTTATGTTTTTTTATAAAAGTGAGGTCATTATTTCAAACTTTGTGCAAAAATTAAAGAAATACCACAAAGTTTCATTTCTAGAAATGATCTGCATACCAAAATATTTTCTAGAAATTTTAATTAAAGAGTTTGCAATTCTAATGAAACTTTGTTTAGCTTTTTAGTTTTCGCACAAAGTTTGGAAATCGGATTTATATAGTTTGTTTAAATAATTAAAATTTACGAAAAATACCAAATGAAAAACCTTGGGAAGTAACTTATTAACATGTAAAGCTATATTATTTAATTTATCTCTTCTTTTTTCACATAAAAAGCAGCTGTGCGACATTTTTGCAGTTTAACTTATTGAAAAATTCTTAAAATTTAATGAAAACACAAAATTTTCTGTAATTTTTTTTAACGTTCCGCCTCTGCGATTTATTTTGAATTCAAGTGTCATTTCTTAAATGCGATTACTCGGTTTTCTTTTTCTTTTTTTATATATCTGTACTGTAATGTTTGCTGACTGCACTTGTAGATACTGCCAATATAGAAGTATTACATATATGATAAAAACGCTTAAAAATGATTTATTTGGTTACGAAATTGTTTTCAATGAAAAAAAAAAATAAATAAAAATCAAAAAATAACGATCAAATTGATCGAAAAAATAAAAATCGAAAAATGCTTAAAAATAAAAATCTGGACATTTAACAGGTAAAAAAATGCAATGAATGACTAGTGAAAAGATGGATATTGAACTTACCAGCACTAAAATTCCAAAAAAATCATTAGTGGCATTCACCAATTTGAGCAAGTTGTCTGGACAAAAGAGCAGATGAGCTCAAGCAACGACAGTTAACAACAGACCTTAGTTGCGTAAATAACGCATTTCCATCAAATGTAGTTTAGAAATAAAAGAGATTGATGCTTTGGCTTGATGCGTTTCCGAACACACCCTGTGTACATTTGTATGTATGTATATGTCTGTGGTTCTGTACCTGAAAATTGCAAGATACCGCACTACTTGATTTGATTCCATTGAATACTGCATACTTTTATACCGTTAAATGAGGAAATACATATAAAAGAAAATTTAACATATTTTAAAATTTTCCACTTCCAGACTGTTCGTTAATGCTAAGTATATATGTATGTATGTACACATTTAAAAGGATAACACCACTGACGGAAGTCTTTGCCATTTAAAATTGACACTATAGCGCGGTTGATTCTTAAGCAATGCCGGTATTTCCTTTCAAGTGGGCAGAATGGCCTGCGAACGTTCGTGCAATAAATTCATAAACAACGTGTGGAACTACGCACTTTTTCATACGCACTTAAAATTCTACTTCATTATTACAACATAAAATCACTTAAACAAATTGACAATCAACGAAAAACTTTAGCGCGTCACTAACAAATCGCGAACACTCAAGCAACTAAAATTAAAATCAGTTCACAATAGTGCAGCTCACAATAGATTGCCGCAGCAAGTATTCAAAGATAAAACTTTAAGAAGGGTGCGTAACGGACTTTCTATTTTTTGCAAGACTTTTATACATAATTTAACTTTACATTACCATTGTGAATTAGAACGAAAGCATAGAGGAGAACGGAAACTAGCTTTAGTGAGGAAGCGATTGCTTCGTAAGTTAACAAGATGGCTACTAAATTGTAGCAAAAAGGAACATTTTTTTTTTATTTTAATTAAATTGTTTGCTAAAGGGCAACCAAGATCAATAACAGGCCAATTCTGGCATTTGTGTTTCAACTCACCTCAGTCTTTCAAGAGACAAAAGTCTTTATATTTCGGCAACTATCTTGAAAGCCCTTTTCTGTATTTGGAATATTTAATTGAAAGATGTGCTAAGTGATAAGTTTTATAAAAACTAAACGAAATGAAAAAATTTTTTTTTTTAAAACAGGAAAAACTAAAAATATGAGAAACTGAAAGTTTCCTAACGTTAAATAAAATAAAGAACATGAATTTTTTAAGCAAAGAAACTTAAAAAAAAATTGTATTAAAAAAATTCGTTGCCGAGGATTGAACTCGGATCTCTTGAATGGCACGAAAGTGCTCTGCTCGCTGGGCCATTGCCACTGTTACAGCAACGTTATCGAAATTGAAATTTATTGAAAACAAACAAAAAATTTCAAAATCATTCGGTAAAAAGTTAAGTAAAGGTTTTTGTTTACTTAACTTTGGTGTTCATTAAATGCCGTTAACGAATCATTAACTGACTCTGAGAGGGAATTTTTTCAAATCGTTACTGAGGGACACCTTAAGTAACCCTTAAACCACTCTGAGTGCGGCTGTAAGTTCTCTTTTGTCAAACCACTTAAATTCCAATAAAGGAGCACTTTTGTAAGTACTCCAATATATATATATAGACTATATGGTCCAACGATTTTCGCAGGGTAGCAAGGCCCTCTGTGTGTGTGTGTGTGTGCCACCTTTTGAAATGGAGTGTCACAACTCTAAAGCTGATGCCAGATAAAACTTTGTAGCTTTGCGTGACATTTATAACTTTGCCAGCAAAGCGCCAAACGCAAAAGGTATGCCACAATGAACGCCAAGAAAACAATTTTGTACCGCTTTTTTACTAGTCAAAGTTGCTGTGGATTTCATATATTTTGCTTTAAAATTATCAGCAATGTAATTAAGTTTTATGTTTCTGCATGAAAACTCGAATTTGGACGAAACAAAATAAATATTAAACTGGCTGATTGTCAAAGCGCGCAAAAAGATGGGAGTTGGCCATCTTTTCGCTTCGCGCTGCAGCTTCGACGATTTATGTGGCATGCTTTGTGCATTTTCATACAATTCATCTTATCTGTCAAAGCGAATCTGTCACGTAAAGCGAAGCAAAAGTTTTATGTGGCATCAGCTTAATGTCACTATAATGATCAAACCTTTAATTATTGAATCATGGCTGAGAACTGCTGTACAGAAATTTGACATAAAAAAATTCTTCGCCATTTCTTCGGCCTTTTTTATATGGAGTTTTTGTTTTACTTAAGGGCTGGATACTAATGGCCTTATTCATAAAAAATGAGGTAGGTTTAAAGAGCTTTATACATTGACGGTTTTAAACATTTTTGAATTTATAAACCTTTTACAAAGATACTTTATTTTTTATGAATAAAGCCATAAGCTTTTATGTAGACATAGTACATTGTTTTAATTTTTTTTTTTCAAATAACTTGCCATTAAATTTGCAAATCACGTTCACACATTTAAATCACAGATATTTAAAAATATTTGCATGCCAATAAACATACATATACAAATTTTACACTTAAGATTATTTCCTTAAGTAGTGGGTTCACAGTGCTGAATTATGAAAGTTTAATATACAAATTTTTGTGAAATTAATTATTCTAGAACTTATACTACGTTCGCGGTTTGAATCTTATACATACATATGTATGGGGCAGTAGGTCATTAGTGGCTATGTTGGGACCGTTTATGACTTGTACGACTCAATGATTTCGTTTATACTCGCTGCAGCGCCAGCAACCAGAGCACATATCGCAAATAAGCTTAACAGTAAATTCTTGTACAGTTTCCATTTGCACCAACCCAAGCGATCTGGCCACAAATGCACTGTTTCACAAACGCTGGGCACAAAAAAACCTGCAATATGAAGTACATAGTATGTACAAATGTTTAACTATGAATTTGCTGTACTTTTCCCACAACATACCCAATAGAGAGAGGAAGACCGCACCCACAAGACTAATGAATGGCTCCAGGTTCGGTATAGCAGCAGCTATCGCACCACTAATTAATATAATACAAGTGCGCAGGATTATCTGTGTAATGTTGTGATTTTTTTCATTGAATTTATGACTTATATTTTTCCAGAGCGTATCGATTGGAATATAAAATACCAGACCATAAGCACAAATCGAGGCAACGGCTATCAGCAGTTTTGCAATGTCGGCCAAACTAAAACAAAAATAATAAGACAAATATAGGAGATTCTAATTATTAAGCAAATTAAATGTCATCAGTTCTATATGTGTTTACATTGTGCCTTCCTTCAAGTTCAAGGTAATGCTGCCGCGCACTTCACTGCCATAACGAGCATAACCGAGGAAACCGATAGTCGCATACAAGGCGACCACAACAAGCATAGCTGTATTTAGCACGCCAGGACAACCCAGAAACTGTTGTGGTTTTTTCATTGCATTTTCAATAGGCATAACCGAACCAATACCCTCCATCGCAAAGATTACGGTAGCGAAGAAAAGCGGTATTTTTGTGGTTTCCGCAATCAGCGGCTTATCTGAGAATTCCAGCGGCTCGCTGAACATATAGTATAACACTATGCCGAATGTGATCACAATGAAACCATTTGCCAATGTTGAAAATGGCACCAGCAATTTCAAATTTCTTATTTGACCAATCATTAGGCAAGGTATCACAGTCATGGCAATGTAAATGCGCACATCCCAATCCAGGCCGAGATCATAGTTGATGACATCGTGAAATGATGTAGCTATAAATACCATATAAACACAAGCTGCTGCAAAGTAGGTGGTCATGAGCCCGCCATCAACGAAACGTCTGTGTGGAAGAAGTTAAAAGTTAATGTACCTTTAAAATAACAGTGTTGTGTTACATACATACATACCTTACAAAAAGCGACCATGATTGCAGTGATTTTGGTCCTTTTTCAAAAACCCTTTCTGCAGTTTCTGCAAAAGTCAAAGCAGGTATTTGATATTCCTTACAGATGTCTTGTGATGTTTTGACCTGTGAGAAAAAATGGAATATACGCTTAATATTCTGCACGTTTGCTTTATACATTTCGAAGAACTCACCAATATGTGCACACAATGCGTACACAGCACACCAATCACCAGCGTAGCAATCATGCTGAACAGCAGCCCGCCATTGGCAAAGGCCATTGGCATCGCTAACAGACCAAAACCTAATGAACCTTTCAGCAAATGCATAAATGCGCCGCTTGTCGACTGACCGTGGACTTGGTCGCGGTAATCCGATGGTAGGTATTCATTGTTTCTGTTTACTTTTTCTGTAAGGTTTGCGCTGAAATTTTGCAGAAATAAACTTCAAAATTATTTTTTATTCAACAACTCGATTTTCTTGTCTACTAACTAACCGTGAATTAAAATCGTTAATCGATAGCACCGAATTTGTCTTCTCTGGGAAGGCTGATACCGTTGTGGTGGAATCTGCCATCTGGGAAGAGGAAGTTAAATGTTATTGAGTGCCTTGCTTTTCTATTAAAATTAAGCTTTAGTTGCTTAAAATAATTTGAGGATTTAAAAAATGTGTGATCAACTTTTTTTTGGGGGGTTTTCCCTCGATTATTTCCCTTGAATCTGTATGTGCTTAACAATGATTCCGTTGTGTGTTGTTTGAAGCTGTCTTTTTGTTGGAAGTTAGCGAGTGACTAAATTGCTTATAGAGTCGAACTGTCTACATTGGGGACTCTACTCTTCTCTTTTGAGTGCCTAAATTCTTTAAATTCGTCTCAAAGAATTCATAGATAAGTGAAGTATATTTTTCGAAATATAGAAAAGTATCGGTAAATGCACTTATCATTAAGTGGGCTAATATGTATTCATAATTGAAATATTTGGAATTATATTTTCAAAACCTTAATGCTCTTTAAGTAGGACAGTCTGATCCAGTACTTAAGTAGGTATGTGCAGTTTTACTAACCAGACATATCAGTTATATTTAATTTCTTACGCCAATAATATCACTTAATGGCATATTCAGACACTTAACCCATTAAGGGGCGACGCCATTAGGAGCCTTGACAGAAAAAATTAGCGATATGTCTGAAAAGCCTATAGTCCAATTAAGAAAAAAATTCGTCCCCGAAGTTTCCAGGTCCATAGGGAAGGCAAGGGGTGAGGTGAATTGAAAACATATCACTGCGCGTTAAGGGGATAAGAAATGGATGTAAAAATAGTTACAAAGGATTTTACGATGTATTCCAAGAAGGCACCATCACGCCTTTGTTTCTATGAATAAATGTGTAGTATAAAGTTTGAAGTTTGTGGTGATATGTAGAGAAATGGTGCATCTCTCTCCATTTTTTGTCAAGCTGACCTGAAAAGTCCGATGTGCTTTCGCATCACTAGGTCGAAATGGGTTAAAGTGGCGAGATATAAATAAGATGATGAAATACGTGTAGTTCGTTAAAATACTATATTGGACACGAAATTCGTAACAGAAATTTTTAGACCTATACCATTACAAAGAACACTTCTTATAAGCGTTAGTCCCCGAAGAAGTTCAGTAAAACTTTCGGGTACTTACTATAATAACCCACATTGAACCTACGAGTATTTTCTATCTCATANCACCCTATTGCACATATTACCCGCAGATAATGACACAATAGTATATCATATATTATCATAAAATGAAGTTAATAAAAATTTAGGCCCGTTTTACGAAACTAAGAACTCTTTGAGCGACTTACCGCGAGTGCTGTAAACGTTGATTTCGTATTGTTGTTTTTGGTGTTGCTGAACACTTTGTCGGTTATCAGTTCCTGGCACCGTTTGATGTTCTTTGACTTTACCCTATTTATACTTAAATATTTGTTGTTTGTTTAACTTTTTCACAATTTCATACTTTCATAAACCGTAATACGTGTAAACTCACAAAAGTAAACAGCAACTATTCCGGAAGCAATAAAAGTTTTTGTTTTTTTTTTTGGTGACAAGTTAATTCGTATTCTGAGCTCGAATCGTCACATACGATATCGTATTACTCGCCGCGTAAAAATTCCGTTTTCGGATTATGACATCCCATTCAGCTTATACGACTGACGGTATCACGCGCGCGTAAATAAAAACACCAAATTGCTTATAAGAATTTTTCTAATTTTTTGGTTTAAACTTTAAACTAATTTGTACTAAATTCCTGGTGCTTTAATTACTTAACGGAAATTTCGAACTGTTACTAGTTTCTTCTAGTCTCAGTACGATTCAAAACACACAAGCACGACTGTCTTTTAAGATCGATCTACCACTAATACAAAAAGTCAGTACAATGTTTTTCCAAGTTTGTTGATCTCTTTGAGGTATATATCTTTTTGCCTGGTATCCTTCTAACTATTATGCGCTGTTATTCTTGGCGTACTGTTGACGCCAGCGCGATCATTTAATGACTGATCTTTTAAAAAGAATACTGGCAAAAATTATAACTGCTCTCTAAACTGCAAAGCTAATAAGCTTTAAATATCAGGTAACGATATTTCAGTGCAGTAGATAGCAACTGCTCTCGTTCGTGAATTGAGTGAGCTGATGTAGTTGCCTATGGATAAAAATAATATGCTAACAAAGGTTTTAATAAAATTTACTAGATTTGATAAAATTTACTAGATACTTATATGTATGTGTTTATTTGCACAATGTGGGAGGTAAGCTGAAAACATATGGGTAATTTCATGTTTATTTAAACGTCGCACATTGAAAATATTCGCATTATTGAAGATCGTGACAATTGCACATTGGTGATAGAGTTATTGAAAATATAAAATTTGAAAAATTCTGCTCACATGTCTGTGTATGTATGCATATCTACATCCATTTGTTTTTAGTGCTATCAAGAATCTGCTTATTTATTTACAACTAACAAATAGCTGCGTGCTTCGCTGCGCCTTAAAATTATTTTTGTGTTGTAACTCCCACCCAAAGCTATTGTGGCATCATCCATAAAAAATAAAATCGATTTAAAGAGCTTTATGAAGTGAGAATTTCAAGCAAATTTTCAATTTATGAAGAATTCTTTATTTTTTATGGTATGTGTTAAAGCATGTTCACGTTATCGTAATTTACGGCTCATTTGTAATTTATAAGCAAATCATGCTGAAATCAAGTAATTTCGCCTTGTAAAATATGTTAGTAAATTAAATGGAATGAGATAATTTATCATAAATCAAGAACCAAACGAAGAAATTTATAAAAATGCCTAAACGTATGCACCCTTTTTTTAACCAAGTATAAATCACACACTTGTGCGTCGTACACGTGTTAATCNTAGTAAATTAAATGGAATGAGCTAATTTATCATAAATCAAAAACCAAATGAAGAAATTTATAAAAATGCCTAAACGTATGCACCCTATTTTTAACCAAGTATAAATCACACACTTGTGCGTCGTACACGTGTTAATCACATATCTACCCTGCAAACCATTTTTTCAGAATATTCTGCATTGTAAAGAAATTTTAAGGAATTCGTTAAGATTTAATTCGATTTTTTGCCGAATTTTCTAAAATGAAATAAATTGCGCACACTTCAATTCTTTTACGAAATTTCGGAAGAAAATCTGTGAAGCAACCATAATAATGGTGCTAAATATGTGAAGAATATCTTTCAGAATTTTTCCAGAATTTTCTTTATTTTTNGACCAAAATAATGGTGCTAATATGTGAAGAATATCTTTCAGAATTTTTCCAGAATTTTCTTTATTTTTCGTACAGAAATTTCTTTACGAGTTCGTGTCAACCGCTTCATATAATTTTCTTTGAAAATTGTTAAAAAAATCGTTACAGAAATGAGATACTCCTAACGATTTCCTTAAGAATTCGGGAGCTTTGGTTTGCAGGGTATAGAAATTATGAACGTAGAACGTAAAAATGTCAACGTACTTGATTTATGTGAAATAATTTGATCGAAACAAATTAACTGATGNCGTAGAACGTAGAAATGTGAACGTACTTGATTTATGTGAAATAATTTGATCGAAACAAATTAACTGATGCTGTGATATGAACATAGTTTTAGATAATATATTTTCGAAGATATTTAGTAAGTAGGTAAATTATCGACTTGTCCTGGAAATTTTATTTATAATCTTATAACTTGTGTCTACATATCGCGCACTTACTTCAAAGGTGTATTAATTCAATATTTGTCGCAAAAAAATATTTAAATACCGTATATTTATCTGCCATAAAAAGTTGAAATGCAATTTTTTGTAATTTGAAAAAGTGTGCCTACTTTACAAATATAACAGACCTATTAACTATTATTTTGGCAAGTTGAAGATATGTCTAAATCAAATATTTCTGAAATGCTTTCATTTCCTATCAATTTAATTGAATTTAATTTTTCAAATACATAGGTGGCAACCCGCTTCAAAAATATTTTCGACAGTAAACTTGCTTAGACCTTTTTAGTTTGATACCTGTATTTTAAAATTTTATTTATTCTATCAATTTAACTGAATAAAATTTTTCAAACAGGTGGCAACCCTCCTCAAAAATATTTTCGCCTGTAAACTTTCCTAAACCTCTTTAATTTCATATCCCTATTTCAATATTTAATCTATATTCAAATTAAAATTATCAAACAGCTGGCAACCTTTCACAAAAGTATTTTAAAGCCGAAAATATAGCCTTCTCAAAACCTCTTTTTTTACAGCCATATTGCAATATTAACTTTTTCTTATAAATTTAATTAAACTAAAATTTTCAAACTGGTGGCAACTCTCTAATTTTATTTTCTATATTTTAAGTTTGACCTCTAGCAATACTTCAGTGAAAACTGCATTCAATTACATGCATTAATTTTAGATTGCTGCGCGCACAGACATACAGGCATAAATTCTAGAAATTGTTGATTTGGCTTCAGTTGCTCTAATAAAGACTCCATAGTAATTTTTCTTTAATAAGTATCTAAATATATTGTACAGACATACCGTACCACCTTAGAGACAAAAAAAAAGTTCGCCGTACACCTTTGAATCTAAAAAATTTTGGTTGAGCAATTTCGAAAACAAAAAAAAGTTTTATTTGGCCTAACGTAGGGGTCGTTTTTTTAGTTTTCCGTCATATCTTTGGCATTTACTGTAATAATTATTATAAATCCACCACATGCTGAAAAGTCGCGCAGATTTTTCGAAATTTTTTGTTTTGCTGACAGTGAGTTACGGGTAATACGAGTAACTAAACTGAAATTTTCTTGAATACAATTTTCAATTTAGAGAAATAAAAACACAAAACAAAAACAGACAAAAACAGCTTACGCGTTTTTTTAATTTTAATAATGGTTTTTACTATTTTTACATTTACATACATATGTACGTAAATGCAATTTACTTACCATTTTTGTAATTAATACAACTCGTATTCAGTATACTTCCAACTAAATTCTTTTCGTTTTTTGTCCTTGTAAAAGATTTTGCTAGTTTTAATAAGTAGTTGCATTTTCTTTTCTAGGAAAAAGTTTCCTCGCTTTAAAGCTACATGTGCATGCATTTGCATGCACATACAAATGTATAAGTAAGCAACGAATTTTCTTAAGTACATATGTATTTATGTTAAGCGTGTTAAAAATTCAATATACATATTGGCATAAAGTAAGCTAGCGTAATTCTAAAATACTATACATATTATAGTTTACCACTAAAACATTTTAATATTTTTTTTTTCAAAAAAAGTTAACAAAATGCACGTTATAAAAACATTGTTAATAATAAAATCTGCTTAATAACTAAATTTAAATTTTAAACCTTTATAAATAAAAGCAAATTAATTGTATGTATTAGGTTTGTGTATTAGAAATTTAAAATTTTAGTGACCAAACACATTGTATTATGACTTAGCATATTAGACATATTTTTAAATTCTTTCATTAACAGAATTTATAGGGTCTTTCTATTTTAACTTAACCAATTTAGGAATTTTCATTGTAGTTCTTTACTTACTCCCTTAAAATTTTAGTAAAATTTTTTGCCTGTATACATATATCATCTTTTTTAAATATATATTAACAATGGTTTGCAGGCAAGCATTTTTGTATAAAAAATTAAGAGAGTTCACCGAATTTTCAACAAAATTTTTAATTGGAATTTTGCTCATCCCTTGTATAGAGAAAGATGCGTAGAGATGTTAGCAAAAAAATAATAATTAATTAAAAACTATTATTTTTACGCGATTTCTTAGCAACTTAAAATTTGCACTTTATAGTAATAAAACTGAATTGAATTCTGTTAAAATTGAACAAACAGCACACCATATCTTTTTTTAATTCTAATTAAAATTTTCATGAAAATTTGTTGAGCTTTCTTTAATTTTGTATACATATAGTTAGAAACTTTGAATTATAGCATGAACCATATTTTTGTAAAAAAAAAGAACCAAAAAATTGTAGCTTGTAAATCATTATTAATGTTTAACAAAAAAAAAAACAGTGTGTACGCAGATATATGTATGCAGGAAAGTGTATATACACCGTTTTTTTAGTTCACATACAAAATCTTAAGGTCAATCAGCTGTTTTTCGTCATTCGTGTACTCCAAAGCTTTTGAATTTTTTCAATATTATTTTAAATTCTTTTTTAAATGTTATTGCTTACTTTTATGCATTGGTTGTTATTTTGTTTAACTTTTAGAAATACTGAAATTTAGCACTAAATTTGCTCAAAAAGCGAATCACGTTCTCACACATGTAAATCACAGGTACTAAACTATTTGCATAAGTAAACGTATTTTGATTTTCTACTTAAAACTGCACCTCAGCAACTATTACATAATTATGTACATATGTATGTATGTATGTATATACATAGTTNACTCAGCACTGGCTTTAGTTTTACACAATCAAAATATGCTAGCTACTTTAACACTTACATTTAACGTATACTATTACATAATTATGTACATATGTATGTATGTATGTATATACATAGTTATGTTTAAATATTTCTATTGATACATTTCAATGATTTCCTTAATACTCGCCACAGATCCTGCAATTAGAGCACATATCGATAAAACACCTAGGAGTATATTCTTGTACATCTTCCATTTGCACCAACCCAAGCGATCGGGCCACAAATATATTGTTTCACAAACACTAGGTACGAAAATGCCTGCAATAAAAAAAGTACGTAAAAATAAAGTTTGAATTTATACATTAAAATTTCGAAAAGTTTGCAACTTCTACTTACCGAGCAGCGAGAAGAAGATGGCACCCACAAGACTGATAAATGGTCCTAGGTCAGGTATGGCAATGGAAACGCCACCGCTAATCAATATAATGCCGGTACGTAAAAGTATCTGTGCCATATTGTGATTTTTTTCATTAAACTTGTGACTAATTTTTCGCCACAAAATTTCATTGGGAACGTAGAATTGCAGTCCATATGTGAAAAGTATGGCAATAGCCATTAGTATCTTCGCAGTATCGGCCAACCTACATAAATAAATAAACATTATTCGATAAAGAATTGATTATTATATTATAATATCAAAACTTACGCTTCACCCTCCTTTAAATTTAATGTAATACTGCCCTCCACTTTATCACCATAACGCACATAACCTAAGAAACCAATAGTCGCATACAATGAAACTACGACGATCATAGCTGTATTAAGCACACCAGGACATCCAAGAAACTGTTGTGGTTTCTTCATTGAATTCTCGACAGGCATAACTGCACCAATGCCTTCCATTGCGAAAATTACAGTGGCAAAATAGAGTGGTATCTTTGTGGCTTGAGCAATTAGCGGTTTGTCTGAGAATACCAATGGCTCATTGAATAGGTAATATAACACAATGCCAAAAGTGACTACAATGAAAACATTTGCCATTGCAGAGAACGGCACCAGCAATTTAAGGGTTCTTATCTGTCCAATAAATAAACAAGGTATCAAAGTCAAGGCAATGTAAATGCGTTTATTCCATTCCAAGCCAGTGTCATAATTGATGACATCGTGAAATGAAGTTCCAATAAACACTAAATAAACACAAGCTGCCGCAAAGTAGGTGGCCATAAGACCGCCATCAACGAATTGTCTGAGTAATGTGAAAATTAATGGTACATTGATTTTAGGTTTTCTTCAAATGAATAGCAAAACAAACTTACTTTGCAAAATTCGACCAGGAACGCAGACGTTTCGGACCAATTTCAAAAACTTTTTCCGCCGTTTCAGCAAATGTTAGCGCAGGTACCCTGAGTTCTTTGCATACATCTTGTGACGTTTCGACCTGAAAGAGGTAAATGAAAAAGAAAACGAAAAAAGAAGATTAGAACAATATTTATACACTAGTGAATCCGCATGGCGTGAAAACGTTCAAAATTAAATCTCGAAGACATAAAGAATACTCCAAATGCTAGTCAGAGTTATAAGCGATCTGAGTGTCGTATTTCATCTAAACCCGTGAAGCCGTTTCATAGTGAATCACCTGTACCGATAGAAAAAAAGATCTAAAGCCAAAAATGTTAAATCCGTTGCCAATTAAGCTTTCCTAGAGCCTCCTTCCTACTACCACCTAGTTCTGATATTTTAGTTCTGGATTGAATATACTACTTATGATTCGTGCAGTTATTACATTATTTGATTGCAGTAATAATAGATTTCCCTAATTGATATGCATGTTGGGCAGATTTCAAAAATGGTACATACATAACGGCCAAAACAGCAACCGCGCTCGTATAAAGGGAAATCAGAGATCGTAGCATGAAACGTATCATTAATTGTTATATGGAAAATGCTCGTTATCCGTTTACATTTAGTGACGGTCAGCAAACAGGTGACCGGTTTGTAACACAAGTAATAAAATTCCTTAAAAAAACGAATTATGCTCCAATAAAGTGTCAATAATAGCTTCGATAAAATTGGAGAAATAAATTAATAAAACCATTTTTGGATTTTATTAGAATGTGGTCGAAAAAAGATTGATAAACAACTATTGACTATACAGAAATGCCCATGATTCACTTGACTACCTTCACTTAATTTCCGTTTCGATTTATAAAGGTAATAAAAAAAGCTGTTAACAAACATATGTATACATGTGGAGACCAACACCAATACGATACCTTTCAGAAATTAAAAAAAAAAAATACCTTGCTCTCAATGGCAAAATAATAGACAAGAAACACGCATAAAAACGTGAGTATTTGCGGTTAAATATGGACACTTTAGCAAAGCTATAAGCAATATGCAATTGCTGTGAAAAGAATTTGCTCTTAAAGTTATGGTAAAAATGAACTAATATTTTGTTTTTAATAATTTTGTTCTCTTCGCACCAAAAAGTAACATTTGTTCGAAGGGTTTAATCAAAATGTAACATTTTAATGGTCCTATCAAAACGCTACATTTTCAATGAGTTAACCCAAAAAGTAATCTTTTTTTTAACAAATTTAAAATACATTTTCATGCTTATTTTGGAAAATTTATTCAATGCCTCAAATGAACCTTTTTTTAGGGATCAATGGTAAGAAAAAACTTTTTCAACTTATGTACGCAAAATTATTTATGATTTAAATGGAACTATTCGGTGTAGACCCACACATATATAGTTCACATGCACATTTGAACCAGATATTAAGTCTATATTGGTCACACTTTATACTATTTCAATAACTTCCGTCAACATTAAACTGTTTTTTTTTTGTTATTGACTTTAGTTGTCAGAGCTTTTACCTTTGACAGCTGATTGGCTTTATAGAAAATTAAACTGATTGGACCGTTGTTTATTTAAATAAAAACGGAAAACTTTATACCAATCAAAGATGTGATAAGATAATCGCTTTCATAATTACGATAATGGTAAAACTTTTATTATAGAAAACAACTAGTTTTATTATGATACGTTCAAATACATCTATTTTGATTAACTTGTTGCTAGCTGCAGAGAAAATCTTAATATTTAATCAATTTTTTTAGCGTACACGTAAAAATATTTAATTTTCAATAGTTCCCTTTCGGTTTTAAGTGTTTTGTTTTCTAAGCTACATTGGACATTGTTGACATTTAATTGGACCAGCTCGAAAAACAGCTTGGTGATAAGATATTGCGAATTTTTGTTAAAAACTACTTACCAAAATTTTCACACAATGCGTACAGAGGAAGCCCACAATTAGCGTTGCAACCATGCCGAACAACAAGCCACCATTGGAGAAGGCCATTGGCATTGCCAAAATGCCGGTACCTAATGAACTTTTAAGCATGTGTGCTAGCGCGCCACCAGTCGATTGACCCTTAACTTGATCACGGTGTTCCGAAGGCAGGTAATCATCGCTAAGCTGCGCCTTTTCGGTTAGATTTGTGCTGAAATTTGTAAAACAGGATAAGACAATGGTAGCTCATTAAACAATATTTTGAAAAAAATAAATAAAAATATTTGTGTTATTTAACTAACCGTGAATTGAAATCATTCAGCGTAAATACTGAAGTTGACTTCTCTTTAGACGTTGGTATCGAAGTGGTGGAGTCCGCCATCTGTAAAGAAGGGATTGATGAATATTTTGATTAGAGTATTAATATGTGCTTTATAGTCAAGGGAGCAGTACTATATGTTTGTGTTTGTACTATAAAGGCGGCAATAATTTCGGGTAGATCGTCAAGGAAATATCCTGACAATTGTATTGTAGGATTGGAAAGAAAAAGTTCATCATGAGCTTCTCAAACTAAACCATTGATACAACGTGTTACTATGAACAACTAATGCGTTTGAAACTGGTGCTTCAAAATAAACTTCCAGGCCCTACTCAATTACACATGTGTGTCTGTTATGTAAAAATAAAGGGAGCCTAACTGGAAAGTTTTATGCATCCAATGCTTCGAGTCCCATTTTCGAAAAGCCAACCTGACACCTGAGGTCGATATAATTTTATAATGGTTAAAAAATATACCGTCTAGCTTGGAAAAATATACTGATTGAAATAATGAAATGTCTCTACGGTCAATTTGACTGGACATATTTTTTTATTATTTTCATAATTAATTTAAAAACTATTGGCAATTAGCGCATTGCTGCTAACATCACTGATGGTTTCTCTTTCAAAAGTATTAAAATGAAAGAAATATCGCTTTGTAGAGGAAAAAATTCTCTACGTATGTACATACATAATTCCAGTAAAAATCGCTACGCTGCGGCGAAGCACTTTCGCGTAATCAATTGCCATTGCTCTTCTTCATTAACTTTGATTAAACGCGTGGATACATGGCGTATGAGCAACATTCAGTTGCTGTTCATATGCACGATTGAGAGAATACAAAGGTTGCGCCGATCTCGGACCGCTATTCCTCTCTTAACGAATTTGACAGAATCGTTGTTTGCATGACGTCACACTGGTGCAACTTGTTTACGTTTTCCTTGCAACATTTTTTCTTCTTCTTCCATTCTTGCTCACGTTTTGGCATTTCTCTCTCGCAATTGCACCAGTGTGACGTCATACAAAAGTTATTCTCAAAAATCCTCTCTGATCGGCGCAATCTTGTATTCTATCATTCTTGGTTCATATGTATTTCAGACTAAAATAAAACGACTCATTGGCCTGCAAAATGGAACTACTGCGGCCAAAAATTGTAAAAAATGGATTAGCGAAATTTGAAAAAGCTACCCCGCAGATCCAACTCACCCAAATGAAAAAGAATTTTAAATAAAAATGCATACATACAGTCATAGGACGAGCTTAAAGTAGAGAGAATGTAAAAATAAATTTGTAAGAAAAAATTTTAATTTTGTCGCAAGTAATTTAATAACATTTTTTTACTACTTCGGATATATCAATCTGGTTTTTTTTAATACATGCATCTATAGTCAACCATTGTTTACATTCTTATATATATACTGAAATTCAAAAACAGTTTCACTTTAAATTCTACATAATTTTGTGAGTATGAAAATTTTCGCGTGCTTACTTTAAAAAGGTCGAAGGAAGAGAGCTGAATTATTCTTAGGACAAGTAAATTTTAAGTGTAAGTATCATATTATAAATAGTTCCACAATAGACTCACATCCAGTAAAATTTATTGAATTTTTATTGTATGTATAGCTGAAGGAAAACACTTTATATATTATTATTCTCCAATTAGTCGTGTGCGTCTTACACAACCTTAAGTTTTATGCCACCTCCAAACAGCAAATGGATTTTTATTAAATTTAGTATGCAGGTATTGACAATGTTTTCGTTTTACCATTTTTGAAATGAAGAAATAAGAACTGCTTTAGAATTAAAATAAACTTGTTTGTTAACTTTCTCCGAATTTTCATTAAACTTAGTACTTAAAGCCAATAAAGTTTTTCTAGCAAGTGGACATCATATTGTGGAGCAGAAAATAATGTTACTCATACGCCATATCGTACATGGCACTACTCGTTTTTTAACCTTTGCGTCTGACTAACTGATTTTTACCTTCTTTGAGATTTTTGCTTTTTTGGGTTGAAACCAGCATATACTATAAATTTCATCGAAATAGCTGTGCGTCGACTTTTACCATTTCTTCATTTCGAAGAGCAGAATAAACCATAACGAAATTTCAGTGAATTTGTATACTTTTGGCCGCAGCTTGTATGGGGACGTCCCACTGCGACAAGCACTTATAATAATAATAATAATAATAGATTGGCGCTTACACATATGTTAGTGTTTGGCCGAGCTTCTCCTCCGGTTTGTGGCGTGCGCCTTGATGTTGTCACACAAAGCGGAGGGACCTACAGTTTTACGCCGACTCCGAACGGCGATTGTGTTTTTATGAGAAGCTGTTTTTCATGGCAGAAATACACTCGGAGGTTTGCCATTGCCCGCCGAGGGACGACCGCTGTTAAGAAAAAACCTTTTTTTTCTATATTTTTTGCGATGTTGCTTTGACCAGGGTTTGAACCCAGGTGCTGCGGAGTGGAAGCGCGCACTGCTTACCACTACACCACAGCGGCAGCACTTATAGTCACAATGAAGTCGACTCTAAAGTTAATTGCAGATTTTGTACATAATTTTCAAAGGCAACTAACTTTAGAGTCGACTTTACTTTGATTATAACTACGGGCCGTTGAATTTAAGTACATATATATATGTATGTATATTTATCAATGACTCATCCTCACTAATTGAGTGACTCTTTGTTAGTTTAAATAAAATGCCCTTTTAATTTGGTTTACTAATAGTTATCCCTGGAAATTCTTGCAATTTCGCTGTGATTTCCTCGTTAAAATCGGAAATATGCCTAAATACTATATTATTTGAAAAAATGTCACCGGTTCTTCAGGATGCTGCATCTTCAGCGACAGTAGTGAGCGAATAATATGTAAAAAAAAAGTCGAAAAAATAATACTGACCGATAGAATATTTAATTAAATTGTTGCAGCTAAATAGCACAAGAACTACATATGAACAAAGAATGAATTGGAGAGATTTTACATGAAAAAAATTAATGCGCGCAGAGTTTAAACTATTTTTCGGAGTTGTTTCAGAGTGGTTGGTTGGTTGTTTGTAGTACTTCATAGTACTACTAAAATAAAATTAGCAGCGCATTTTGTGCCGTTTTTATGCGCTTTAGTGGGAATGCTAAATACCTATGCATTTTTAGTTTTCTCGATCAAACCAACTTGATTGCTTGATGAATTTGCTGATGTCACCTATAGTATATCCTAATATATCTGCTAGTTTTGTTTGCATGTGTCTGCCTAGTGCCTTATGCCTTATAGCCGCTAGACCTGAACATTCACAAAGGCAACGCTGGAGGCTTTCTTCGCTTTCTGAGGTGACAGCTGCGACAAGCTCTATTATATGGGAGCCCCATTCTTTTTGCCTATGCCCGTGAGCAAGTCTAGTGTCTTCGTCTTGTTATAGACCGGAAAAGTCCGTATGTCCAACTACCTCCGTTTTGCTAGTCCAAGAAAATGCAAACCAATTCGCCAATTCATGGACTTCTTCTCATTACCTTCAATGTTTCTATGGCCGTCAACCCAGACAAGAGAGACGCTTACTGACGCATACACTTCTAGACTAGCTGGGATTTGGTGTTCGGTGAAGCTAGTCCTAACAGAGCCGCTTGCCTATCAGAGTAAATTGTTGCTTTCTTAATACTACATACGCCTTCTCTTAGAACCGTACGTGGGACAGGCACGTGAGGCCGTCGAAAAGGCCAACAAATTGGCGACGGAGTGTTGGTTCTTTCTGCACCGCACAGGTCGAGAGGGATGCCTTTCAAAGAAATTGATCATCCACCCTTCAGTCTGGAGCTGTAGTAGTTATACATATATATGTTCATATGTATGGGTATATATATATGTGCATATGTATGTACAGACAGCCGGTTACTTAATGTCTGGTTTTCACTAACTGCGGGTTAAACATCGTTATCGACGTGATCAACTCCATAATATATGTATAACACGGAGTCGATAACATCGATAACGATGTTTAACCTGTAGTTAGCGTTAACCGGACATTGAGTTACCGGCCCTAAGTATATATCAATCAAGGCGATGTTTAAAAAGCCAATAAAAACAGATTGTTGGGGCTTATCTTATCGTACTTTAACACTACTTTGGACATTTCTGGTTAGTAAGTCCGGCGACAACAGTAACCAGTAAACCGATAGAATTTAATGTAGAGCCAGACTGTTAAATAATTTTTTTTTTATTTTTTTATGTATAGATCTTTATTGCCCATGCACGCTTTAGATTTAGTGCCTTGTAGATAAATATGCGTATGTACAGTTATCAAAATATAGTTGTAAAATCACTTTTTTACAATTTCTTAAGAAAAACCACACAAGGCATTTTGTGCAGAACGTTGCCTTGAGCTTTGAAATTTCAATCATGAGTGTGTCGTACATACATACATATGTACTTATGTATTACAATGGTCATAATTAGCTGTATTTATTGTTTTATTATAGTCATTACTTAGCATTTCCTATATCTACATAAGTAATTTTATGGGTCCTCAATATTTGTTCGGTGTTTATTCCGCAGTGTTGTTAACTGATTGCGATTATAAATGTATCCAGGGTACGAAAATAAACTGTACAAAACAATTCCCATTTGCTCATCGATCATCATATCATTTGAGGTTTTGTACAGTTTTGTACATAGTCAGAAACACATTGTAAGATTCACTGTCATTCACTGTCAGAAGCGTTTGCTTTTCGTTTGAGACAATTGTACCATAGGGTACGTTTTATATGTATGCAAACGTATCAATTACGTGAAAAATATTTTTTCTGTAAATTTTCATATCCAATTCAATTAAAAAACGTGTACTACATACATACATATATTTTTCTCTGCACGATTCATTTCGTTTGTTGTTTCGTCTGTAACTACTAAACTACTGTAGTGTACTATCGCAAAGTGAACTCAGCCGTTTTGTTTTCGTATTGTACCGAACTGTTGAAGTAATAAACGAAACGAAATAGTAACGTACAATATAGTTTATTTTCGTACACTGAATGTATCAAATAAAAATCAGTTTTATTGGTCAGAAATTCAGGTAATTGTTTTTTTTTTTGCTACCAACTTACGCTTACTTTTTTGTAGCTAACGTTAATTTGGTCATGATTGATCGAAAAGCTGTGTTTTTATTATTGAAAAAATAAAAGTAAAACCCTAACCCCTGCTGCAATGAAGAACTTCTGGTTTTTTTAGCACGAAAAACCGGTATACATGCATTTTGAATAGTGCTGTGCGCATGAAAGCATATAAAAATTAATTGTTTTTAAGTGAAGCTAAGAGAGGACACATGGTCTTCGTAAATCTTTGTAGTTTCGAATTATACTAAAGGTTTAGCCATAAATACTCTTGTTGTGTTTTGTTGATTAATTTCAGTTGCAGAAGTAAGCACAAATTTACGATATATGTACAGGTTATGAACCATCATGCTCGTCGCAGCAAATAAATATTTTTGTTTTTCCTATTCATGTAGTTAGGTTAATGCACCGCTAAATATTTGCTTTTCATTCGCTCCTCAAACTCTTTCTTCAATGTTATGTAATCGAATGCCATACAACGTTATTGCATGCAAATATGAAGAATCTCAGTAGAACAGCGCTCAGCAAATATTTTATTGCAAAAACATTTTTTATGAATATTTAAGCAAAAAAAAAATGCATGCGACGAGTGGCGCTCGACTGATTGTGAGTGTGGAAAATTTTATGATGTTATCAAATAACTGCAATGAAAGAAGCATAAAACGTGCCATTATACGGTGTTTACATGAGGCGATTTTATAGGCAACTTTAGAGGCGATTAGTTGAATCCAAAGATGGCTGGCCCCAACTTCATTGGAAGCGATTAGTTAAAAGGCCGTTCAAACCAGGCGATTGTTGCTTTCAACTAAATATATCCGGTATTTTCCATATTAGCGTAAGCGCCAAAATTTTTTTTTCATTTTTTTGTCGTTCTTCAGTTGCTCTTAATAGCACTATAGACATAGAGCAGAAAAAGAATTGAAATGAAATTTCAGTTATTTCCAAGGACCGAAAATAAGCGCTAATTATAAAATAACGGTTAAAGTATGACAGAAAAAACACATAAAAAACAATAAAAAAATTTTCGAAAAAATAAAAATCCAAAAATAACGCTTATTCTCGAACGAAAAAATAAGAAGCAAGACCTTAAAAATTGAAACTGCAAAAACGGATAAAATATGATCAATAAGATAAAAGACTAAAAACAAATGATACAAAATTTATTGAAAAAAATAAAAACCCAAACATAACGTTTATTCTCAAACGAAAAAATAAAAAGCATAAGGTTACGGATAAATTTGATCGAAAAAATAGAAACCCAATTCTAACAGTTATATTTTGTGTGTGTTTTTTTTTCAACCATACTTTATCCGGCATAGAATGATAAATAAATTTCAAAAATTATTACGTCATTAAATCCTTCAGTTTAATGGTTTTTATTTTTGGGGCCTTTTACTAGAAAAAAAGTTTAGCGATATCAATTTTTTCACGAAATACCAATTTTGTGGAGTTTTTCAACGCAGTTCAGCCAAATTAAGACAAAAAAATATTCAGGTGAGAATCCATATTATAGACGAACTTTTATGATTCGATATTTTTCCATAGAGCAACAACACTTTGAATATTTTTATTTAGTTATTATGGAAAACTTTCAGGTATTCACAGATTCAAATGGTGTATCGGGTATAGAATATGACGTATCTACATATGGGTGTTTCCAGCGGAAGGTCCACCACGACAAAAAAAAATAAAAGTTTTATATCTATATATATATACTGGCTATGTAAGAAGAATAATGTTTGCATAAATTGGTCTTCCTAGGTAGTGCCAAGGTCGAGATATTTCGAAAAACCGTATTTATGGTCCGATTTGGTTCGAATTTGGCGTATGTGGTTGAAACATAATAAATCATAGATTTCTAATAAATTGACCCTGAATTGGCGCTGAAGTCAAAATATAAAGTATATTCTACATAAAATACATGTTTTATTTGCGTTGAAAATTCATTTAAAAGCAATATTAACAAAAATATAACGATGGAAATTTATGTCACGTGACGCCACGTCACGTCACGTTTCACACTTGGGGTTGTAAAAGAGAATTGAAACAATTTGCATTAATTCAAAAAACTCTAAAAACAACTAAAATTGCTCCAAATCATATTAAAATAAGTTTCATGAAAATAGCCATCCACAATTCGCAGAGTTTTGCGATTTTGTAAGAAAAGAAAAAATCAACTTCCATTTTTTGTCACGTAACGAACCTCTCTTTAAATGCTTATATTTCAGGACCAAGCAGTTCGATTGATTTAATTTTTCGGTTAAATATAGAGCTAATTACGTGCTATACAATGGCCCAAAAAAGTTAAAGAAAACAAATGGTATTCCTTTTTTGTATCACATTGAAATCGTACGACTGTCACGTGCGCCACCATGGGAATGCCCATATATCGTTTTACCTTAACTTGTAACAAATCCGTTTAAGTTGAATGACTTTATCGACACACTGACCAGACACTAAATTTTTAGTTAATTTAATAAAACAGTTATTTACTAATTACTATGTATGTATTAAATTGTGCGTTTTATGTTTTAGTGATTGCCACCAAAAAAATTTAAACCGCACACTCGGATTGACCAGGGGCAACTGATCGTTGTGTCGCAAATAAATCGTAATTTTACTAGCAGGTGAAAAAATTGTTAATTACCTATCGGATCACTTACCAACTCGATCGTAACCGAAGAACAAAACAAAAACAAAAACAAATATAGGGAAGAAAAAAAAACAAAATCACAAATCAACGAGTGTATAAACAACAAAAGCAAAATCAAATTATTTGAACCCCTTTAAAATCAATTACTAAAGTAAAATTAACTTATCATATCAGGCGTATAGGCTAACAAAAAGTGCTGATAAAGCAAAGGTAGCATAAAATGCATGTGTACACATACAATAGCTACATATTTATGTATGTTAGATCTACGCAAGTACATATGCATCAAGGCGAATTCACATAAGGTGGTATCGGTAGTACAAAAACAAACATCTTACATGTATTTTGTTTTTACTTTCGGCATGCAAATGTCAAATTCCAGCTATTCTAGATAGAAGGGAATAGAAGTTTCAACACTCTCATTTCTCACTCACTCATACGAAATTTTGACACATGTGTCCCAGGCGAAAAAAATCAACTATTCTAGCAACACCACCTTATATATATTCGACTTGATTTGTATGACTGTCTCAAAAAACCGAAGTTCTTTTACTTAACGCATACCGACTACTTCTATTTGATTTGTCTTAAAAACTATCATAAAATTAATAAATAAAATAAAATTTTATGCAATTCGGACCACGGCAACCCGTGCCGACTTGCGGTCAAAGTTATCAGAATATTCTTTTTGCAGTTCGCGTGTTTTGTTAACTTACTCAGTTTACTTCTTTAGTTAGTTTTTGCAAATATGCCATCTCAAAAAAAAAAAAAAAATTAAAAAAAAAATCATTCGAATTTTTTTTTAGTATGCAGTTTTGTAGTCCAATAAATTTTAATATAATAAAGTGCAAGCTTTATGGGCTACAAAACTGCATACTCAAAAAAATTCCAATAAAAATGAAAAAAAATATTGTAAATTTTTAATTTATTCCTTTTACTAGACTTCGGTGTAAACAAAAATTCATAACTCAAATTATTGTAGAGTGCACCCGTTATACTATACTGAAATATTGCGCAATATTCAGAGCATTGTGATTTTTTTAAATTTGTTTTTGAAATGGCATATTTACCAAAACCATTTTTTTTATCAAAAAATTTTATGTGAAAAATTTTTCAAGAAAAAATTTAGAAAATATTTCTTTTCATAGAGAATTTTGATGTGTGTATGTGTGATTTTTTAAAATTTTTCCCTCGCCCCGTTCTCGAGATATTTGGAAAACTATTAAATCGATTTGTTTTTGTTTTTATGCTGTAAAGTTTTTAAAAATGTATTCATTGTATTAATGTAATCAAACACATGAAGTGTGAGCCCCGTCCATTTTGGCATGGAACGCCCCATATACATATGCACTTTTTTTTTTAAGTTTTTGTCAATGAATCTCTTCGTAGTCGCAACTAATCAGCCCAGTAAAAAAGCGTATAAGAATATACAAATATAAAACATCCTACAGACACCTGTAATAAATTGTAAATATGTATACATATGCGTGAACAAATATACACATACATTTGCACATCATATGTATGATGTACATAAACCCCTTGCATTACTTATTGCAAAAGCAATTAATTGTATCACCTCAGACAATAAGTCAAGTAAAATAATTTTAATTGTATTGATTTACGTCAATGAACTTTTTTTTATATGTACACACATGTGTAAACTGTAAGGACTTGAGTTCTATGTACATAAAATGTTTTTTNTCCCTCGCCCCGTTCTCGAGATATTTGGAAAACTATTAAATCGATTTGTTTTTGTTTTTATGCTGTAAAGTTTTTAAAAATGTATTCATTGTATTAATGTAATCAAACACATGAAGTGTGAGCCCCGTCCATTTTGGCATGGAACGCCCCATATACATATGCACTTTTTTTTTTAAGTTTTTGTCAATGAATCTCTTCGTAGTCGCAACTAATCAGCCCAGTAAAAAAGCGTATAAGAATATACAAATATAAAACATCCTACAGACACCTGTAATAAATTGTAAATATGTATACATATGCGTGAACAAATATACACATACATTTGCACATCATATGTATGATGTACATAAACCCCTTGCATTACTTATTGCAAAAGCAATTAATTGTATCACCTCAGACAATAAGTCAAGTAAAATAATTTTAATTGTATTGATTTACGTCAATGAACTTTTTTTTATATGTACACACATGTGTAAACTGTAAGGACTTGAGTTCTATGTACATAAAATGTTTTTTTTTTTTTGTTTTAATAAGCGTGTCGTCTTATCTTTATTTTAAAGTAACAGAAAGCGCTGTGTTAATTTTATATTGTTTTAAAACTTGCCACATGACATTTATGATTTATAGTGAGTGAGTGAATATTTTCCGATTTGTGTTCTACGAAATCGCTTAAAACATTGCATACGGTGCTCTCTTTAAGTTGAGTCAAATTTTCACTGTAAAAACGGACCTATTTAAGTGTTTAGCCGAGCCTTCTTTTCCATATTTTAATAATAAATATACAGCGTGTTACGGAGTCCTCGTTCTGTGGAACTTGCTAGATGATATTATGTTATTAAGGTAGCTATAAGCAGTATAGGCTTGCTCAGGTTAATAGCCAATTTCCACCAAAGGTTTAACTGCAGTTAAGAGCTCAGATAAGTGCCAAGAATTTTAACATGGGGTAATCGACAAAGTTTATTTGTTAATTTTTGCTTTTTTTCCATTCGTTTGCATCTACTTAGCAGGTGAAATCACCACCTTCCAGTTGTAAACTCATTTTCCAGTGGGCATAAACTGCGGTTAAGGCTTGGTGGAAATCAAGTATAAGGGACACTGGGCTCTTAATTAGCAAAATTTTTTTGCGTTTGTACGGATGGTTGGAAATTTGTTGATGAAAAAGTCGCCGGATGTATATTTTATCGGATCTTTTCGCTTCAACCTTCGAGAGAGAGTTTCCACGATGCTAAAATTGAGCAATTTCAACCCTCAATATCATTTTGAAACTTTAGCTGTTAACACGACCATCTCAATTTCAATTCCGATGCCAGTATGTATATTTATTTGCTTTGTTTTAGTAAAACTTGTTTTTTCTTCTGTTTGCTCATTTATTCTTCAAAAAAAAAGTACTTTTCTCGGCTGTATTCGCGTAGTTGAGGTAATTTCATCCAAATTTTACTGAAACTGTGAGTCATACGCAATTTCAGGTGACTGGATTTTGTATGGCCAAATTGAGAATAGTATCGCAATTTCAGCTGAAATTGAGAATAGTGTTGAAATTGCTCAATTGGATGTCGTGCAAACTCGCTATTAAGTTTACTTTTCAAAGTATGGAAATTTCTTTCCATCAGCGCGAGCTGACATAAAAGTGGTAGTTGTTTAAATGCTAAAGTGGGCGACGTCGATTAATGGGGTAAAAATAGATTTAATCGTACTTATTTTAATGAACGGATGGAAATTTGAGCACATGTTTACTTACGGTCAGCTCAAAAATGATCGCGGAGTGCGTGGGCCCGAATCAGGGCATCCATGATCGAATAAAAGTGGATCACGGAAGCTTTGTCTACTCGGGTTTTTCCATCTGAATCTCATGTGCTACTAGAAGCAGAGTCCCGTCCTTGTCAACCAAGGGCCTTTACTTTCTTCGATACGAACTCAATAGTATACTACGCTAATGTGCTTTGTAAATTTTAACATCCTGAGCATATTTTATGAACTACTGAGCGATTAGGTTAATTAATAGTTATTCGAAAAGATTAAGAGTAAAAATTAATTTGAAAAACAACAAAGCTGCTGGAGCTGACGGCCTGCCAGCCGAGCTATTCAAGTACGGCGGCGAGGAGCTGATGAGGTGCATGCATCAGCTCGTATGCAGAATATGGTCAGATGAACGCATGCCCGACGACTGGAATTTAAGTGTGCTCTGCCCAATCCACAAGAAAGGCGACCCCGCCATACGCGCCAACTACCGCGGAATTAGCCTTCTAAGCATAGGTTACAAGGTCTTATCGAGCGTATTGTGCGAAAGACTGAAGCCCACCGTCAACGAGCTGATTGGACCTTATCAGTGTGGCTTTAGGCCTGGAAAATCCACCATAGATCAGGTATTCAAATACGCCAAATCTTGGAAAAGGTCCGCGAGAATAGGATCGACACACACCATCTATTTGTCGATTTCAAAGCCGCTTTCGACAGCACGAAGAGAAGTTGCCTTTATGCCGCGATGTCTGAATTTGGTATCCCCGCGAAACTAATACGGCTGTGTAAAATGACGTTGAGCAATACCACCAGCTCCGTCAGAATAGGGAAGGACCTCTCCGAGCCGTTTGATACCAAACGAGGTTTCAGACAAGGGGACTCCCTTTCGTGTGATTTCTTTAATCTTATGTTGGAGAAGATAATAAGAGCCGCAGAACTGAACCGCTCAGGCACAATACTTTATAAGAGCGTACAATTGCTGGCGTATGCCGACGACATCGATATTATCGGTAAAAACAAGGGCTACGTCTGTTCTGCCTTCTCGGGATTGGATAGAGAAGCAAAGCGAATGGGTCTGGTGGTGAACGAGGACAAAACGAAGTATCTCCTGTCAGCACACAAACAGTCAGAGCATACGCGTCTTGGCACCCACGTCACTGTTAACAGTTACAAGTTTGAAAAAGTAGACGACTTCGTTTATTTGGGAACCAGCATTAACACCAATAATAATGTCAGCCTTGAAATCCAACGGAGAATCACTCTTGCCAACAAGTGCTACTTTGGGCTGAGTAGGCAATTGAGAAGTAAAGTCCTCTCTCGTCGTACAAAGATCACACTCTATAAGTCACTCATCAT